GGAAAACAGAATCTGTAGAAACCTTTCCCCTTGCTATTCCATTCTGCCGTGCTGGTAAGGCAGAACGATGGCAGTGATGATCAGGCCTTTCAGTGAACCTCTTACAATGTGGATGGCAACGATGCTCCTGCTGCACTGTGTGAAATTGGTTGTTTGCTCTTCTGCAGTTGTCCATTGGAAAGGTTTGTCCATTGGTCTCATTAAATTACGAGGGGAACAGCTATTAACGCTCTTTGGAAGAATACTCATCTTTTTCTTTTTTAATCCATCACGGCAGATCTTTGTGGAGGAGTGTATTTACAGGGCCTCATTTTTTTTTTTTCCCTTTTAGCCCAGTTACTGAGGATGCTACAATAAGAACGAAATGTTTACTCACCACTGAACTCTAGAAGAAGGAGTTTCTGCACTTCCCACCTTGTAAAAACTCAAATCTTCGAACATATCTCCAAGGGATCCTTCCAAAAGACTTGCTTGGGATCGAACTCTTGCTGAACAGAAGTCAAACAGCCAGCTGGTTTGCTAGGATCCAGGAAGAGACTTCTACATCTTTTGCAATCTAACTGGAATTACAGTCTAAACCAGGATATAAAACCACATTCACATTTGATCTTCTCCCTCAGGAGAAGTGAAATACCACACTGGAGCTAGTTCTGAAAGCGAGGAACAGAATCTAGTTGTGTTCCACTCACGCCAGGTTTAGTCTTTCTTACCCTGTGCTGCCTCTCGAGTGTTAATGGAAAGCGTTCACTGTGATGTTAGCTATGTAGGGTGTGAGCACGGTATCCCTGACCTCTGTAGATTAATATTGGAAAGATTAGGAGAACTTGTAGGGCCACCTTGTGGCCATACTATGTATGGTGGCTCACAGTAGCGATGACTGTTTCATATGGCCAAGGACATTTTCTTCTGTGTGATTATTCCCCGTTTTTCCTTTGTTTTACCAACACATACTCTCCTTTTTGGCCTTAAACCCCTTAATAATCCTTGCACCTCTTGTTACAGTACCTGGAAAGAATGAAAATCTAGTCCATCAGTGACCAACTATGTTGACTGGATTTGAGCTGCTCGTTGCAACCAGGAAAAGGAAGATGAACCTGCCAAACAGCTTGTAGCACTAGCAGACTACAGCAGAGGTCCCACATTTTGACACTGATTATTTTGTTTCCTATGTGACTCAAATACATGCATTTTAGGCTAGAGATATGTATGTTTTAAATGCTGAAGCAGTGAAGGCATAAGTACAGCTTACTTCAGGAACTGCTTATTAGTTAGTTTTATTGTCATACAGGACTAGGAAGAAAAAGAATTTTCTTGTTTCTGTTCATGCTATTTCTGGGTGTTGTTTCCAGATGCCGTGCTTTGGGAATACTTACCAGGTATGTTAGCAGCATGAGGGTAGAACTAGATCAGTTCTTAACACCACCTCGAATCCTGTTCCAAGTGTCATCTAATAGTTGTATGTGGACCAAGAATAGAAAGAATAAGGTGAAAACAGGAAAAAAAGATGAAAAGTTCCTGTAAGCAGTTCACCACTTTGTAGAAAGAAGGTAGGAGCACTTGCAAGAGCACGCTCCGCAGAGCTGGTGAAGGCCTTTTGGTGCTCAGGTGAAGTACAGGATACGGTATGTAAGAGATCATTTGAGTCCTGGGCAGCAGGAGCCTTGTGGACATGTAGAGGTGAGCACATGGACCCTGCGGATACAGCCTGTGAAAAAGGTCAGTGCAGAGTCAGAGGGAGGAGAAATACAGAAGCCCGATGATGAACTCCACATCTCCTAACAGGGAGGCACAGATGAAACAACTGGGATCTTTCTTAGGAAGAGGTTTGTACATATGCCTGGGGTTGGAGGATGTTTTCTGCATAGCGCTGCTGTTTATAAATATTTATATACACGTAGTTCTTAGAAATAATTTTAAATGTGAGAGTTGGTTCTGAAGCCTGGATGCACAACTTCATTTCTGCACACCGGCTGCGTGCACGTCTCTCAGTGTAGACGAAGGTTTGGACCAAACCACTGTGGGTTGTGCAGGTAAGCTGGTGCCCGGCCAGGCTGCTTCTTTCAGGCTAGGGTGTTCTTACTGCTGCTCTTGTGCTCTTGTTTGCAAGATGTTGAATGAGAGTGTTAAGGAAGAAGCCACGTGGCATTTACGTGGCCCACTGCCACTCCTCAAAACCCCTGAAGCCTTAATAGGGAAACATAGAAACCATGGGGAGCTCTTAGGACTGACATACCAGAGCAACTCTCTGCAGACAATGATTTGCAGCCATTGCCTCAAGAACTGGGAGTCAAAATTGGTGGCAGGCGCTTCAGGTCCCTGCTCCAGCCAGCGCCTGAAGCACTGCACGGGCAGGCTCCCCGCACTGCCAGCCAGAGGGGAGCTGCTGTTCTGGGCCAGGTGGAGTGTTTCTGCTCGCCAGCCGTTCAGCTCTGTCGCTGTTACTTCCAGTTGAGTATTGGCTTTTTTATATGCTTTTAAGTCTGAGCCTTACTGCATATTAAAATGTAGAAGGTTCCCGATTCAAATATCAAATGTCTTAGTCTGGATTAATAATACAGTTGCCAGCAAAGTTCCTGCAGGAAAAGGGAAGCTATGGCTGCAACAGTCTGCTTCCTGCACAAAGCCAGGACTGTGTGGGGAAACTTGGCACTTGCTGTTGATCTGTTTGCTCAGCAGCTGAGCTGGCATTCGCCAGCTACATGTGTTGGTTTTGTAAATAGACAGAATGCAGTAGCATTTTCTTCAAGGCATGTTTGATATTTGACTCTTCCCGTTGGGTTCAGGAGCTCTGTGAACTGTTAGCTTGAATCCCTCCCAAAAGTAGAATAACAAGTTTACAGTTCTACAGCATTGCGTGTTGAATACCATCCTTAGATTCCTCCCGAGCAATCGCATACAGCAAATAACAAGTAAATAACGTGTGGTGGGTGTGTCCCCCTAAAAACCTAAGTGGTTCCAAGTAGCCAACTGTTATTTCAGCATGGTCGGGATAGTGGTGATCAGAGGGGAATGTTGTATTTGCACACATGCGTGCACACACGAAAATTTCAAAGGGGCAAGGTTTTTCTCAATTTTCAGAGGACTAATACTTTGAACTTTATTTAAAAATTCAAAATTTTCAACTGTTAAATGGGGGACTTGGAATTTCTAGTAGATTTGGGGCTGCAAACCCAACTCTTTCCAGTGACATCTAATACTTGGAGCAAATATTCACTCCATTTAACTCAACGTAGCTTATTTAGCCATTCCAAATCACTGTTTGTATAGGGAGCCTGGCGAGACTAAGGCGCCACAGTTATGTGGTCTGAGCAGACACATAGGTAGGTATCTGAACATCCTATGGTTTTGCATCACTGTTTTGCTTTAAAACTATAGGTATCATGTTGTATCGTGACTGGCTAACAGGTAACGGAGCAGTACTCATCACCTGCATTTTATCAAACACAAATAGGTGTAATAGTTCCTACAGTTAGTGTTACAAAGTATTAATTAATGCCTGTGTGACACTGAGAAAAAGGGATTTTCTTACCATTGCGGTACTATTGATTGATTGGCTGTAAGGTCCAATCATCCCCTAAAAGTTTATTTTTTGGGATTTATTTAAAGAGATTTATAAATAAAACTTTTGTTTGAATCTGGTGTTGGGACGTTGGCAAGTCTGCCAACCACTTAAAAGCTGTAAGAGTTGACAGGAATGAATAAATGCACGTTCTGTTGCAGTCATTTGGAAAAAGCCAGCTCCCTGATTTAAAAACAAAAAAAAAAGTTCACATTTTTTTCCTAACAAAGTTATCCCCCATTGACTTCCTCATGCCTGTCCCAGCCTGTGCTCATTAATTGGCCTTGTACCCTTTTGCTGTGTGTGCCTGTAATGCTGGTCAGAGATGGAGGCTGTTTAACTCTGTAATTAAAAAATGCTAACTTACACTAATGGGATCTAAAAGTAAAAGTGATTTTACTCCGGTCATACTCCATAGGCGATTGGAGTAAAAGATTTTATTGAAATCTTAACGTTAATAATAACACCCCCACCCCCCGTATCTCAGACTGGTTAATCTTCGGGAGATGCTGGATCTTAGAACTGCGTTTCAGTCTCACCCATTTAGTCCAACAGGGAGAGACCAGAGAGTCCGCATGTGCTGCGTACCTGGCGGTGGTCTTAGAAGCTTTTGAAACGGGTGTTAAAATGTGGGAGTTCAGGCCCTCTTACACTTGAATTAAGGGAATCTATTCTTTACTTCAGTGGTAATGGGGTTTAATATTAGGTAAGTCATATGACATAAAATAACTACTTACCTGGTAATCAGTCACGGTTAATGAATTAGCTTGAATGTATTAGATTTTAAACTGAAATTCCACATACACTTTGTCAAAGACAGACAGCGGTGTAAAAGCTATGTTTTGGACAATTTTTTGGACGCAACTTTGGCAAGAAAATTTTCAGCACCGTTAAGAGGGGCTCAGTTGCATTTGGGTCTCCTTCCACAAACTATTTTCAGCCCTTGCCTGTTATCCCTTTGTCTGCACCTTGCTCATTCTCGTTTCCTGAAGCAAAGGTATACTGTTAAGATCAGCATGTCCTTCACAGACAGCACTGGATATATTTTTCACATTGTGAACATATTCTGGTACAACCCAAACCTTCTACAAATTAAGTGTTAGCAGCTCTATTTCACAGCCAGCTAGCATTTAAAGCTCTATCTGGGCACGTAGAGTGTTTGTTAGTCTAGAAAGTTGTAGTAAAACTACATAGCTGTTAGACATGGTAACATCACAGCTTTCAAATGCAGCTGGACAATCATAACCTTTATACCAAAACCTAAAAGTAATCCATGCTAATGGCCTTGCAGTGATGCAGGTGTAATCCGGGTGTGTTTGGTCTGAGCGTTAGCACCGTAGACATAAGTACAGGGCCCTTCCCACCACCCTCAAATGGAGGTAGAGTTGGTGTGACTTCGTGAAGTGCTGCCGCTGTCTTGTCACAGTGTTCAGGAGGGAGATCCAAGCGGTTGGCGCAGCCTGTTGAAAGCGCAGCATCGCGCCTGGCTGTGCGCGCCTGCTGGCAATGAGGAGTGGGTGCTCACCCTGCAGTAATGTCGGACCCTGGGCAGCAGGGAGCCGCAAGGTTCTCCTACAGAGTTCACCTCCTTTTTACTGTTTGGCTTGAGCACTGCTTCATAAACACACACACACACCTACCTATAACTGGACAAACTTATTTTAAAAGTATGTAAGAATATTTTTTTAGCTAGATTTTTTTTTTGTTAAAGCCACACTAACTACTGTATTTTTACCTTTTATATGTAAAGCTTGGCAATAGCTCTCAATGTATAATTTATTTGTTGTTTTTTTATAAAACAAAGTGCACCCTCTTGCTTCTGTTTCACACCAATAGCGATGTATGAACTGTTTTAGGCACTGCACTGAGATCTGTATTGAAACTGTACCTGGGAACAAGAAACTGTGATTTGTAGTCCACTCAACCCAGTCTTGAAATGTTTATACTGTAGTTTTGTCTTAAATATACCATGTCAGTGCAAAAGTCTGGCAGAGTCATCTTTAAGCACCGCTGTGTTACGCTGGTATGGCAGTAAAAGAACGGTGGGTCGGCCGGGACTTGGGACGTGAGCTGTGCGGTGAGGGCCGGTGGGCTGCTGCACCTCTGAAATCAAAGCCGAAGGTGTGCGGCAGATGCGTTCTTCGCGCTGAGCGCTCACCCGGTCCGCAGTTCGAGGAGCCTCTGTGGCAGTACATTAACTCTGCAGGACCGTATTTTTTTTGTCTGTATGCTAAGGTCGCTTGGCAGCTTCTAATTTAAGAGAACCTAATTTAAGAGTACCTGGGTTGGGGAGAGATGTGTGAACTTATTTGGGATGTCAAAACTGCAGGCCGTGTTATAAACTTGTTTTGTTGTCAGTTAAAGCGTAACTTAAGATGGCATCGAAACTTGCAGGTGGATGCTAAAGAATTAAATGCCTTCTTTCCAAAAGAGCTGAGATTGTCCAGGAGGACTGTCAGGTGTTCAGTGGTTTTGAAAATCAAAGCACCGAGGTGTGTGCCCAGAAAGGCAGTTTTGAACTTCCAAGTGTAATTCCACAAAATGTAGGCAAAAGTGCATGCTGGTTAGCTGAGCGGTCTTGCTTCTATTTCCAATAAGGGATTGTTTTATGTTTTGAAGTACAGTGGTGCTAGTGATTGTTTAAAGGAAGCTGTTTATTTCCAAAACCCGACTTTGGTGAAATGCTTAAGAAGGCAGCAGAGGGCAACCAAACCATTTGATCGTCTTCGTTTCTCAGCAATTAATAAACTTGGGAAAGTATCAAAAGGAAGTGACATAATTCCATCCTAATGACAAAAGGAAGTGAAATAATTCCTTCCTAATGACTAAGCTCATAGAAAGTCATTTCCCTTGTGGCATAATTTGTTGTGTAGATCAAACCACAATCCCACTGATAAGCCACTGAATTGTTCTTCGAATCCGTTTATAACTCAAAACAATGAAACACGTTTTGGTTTAGATTTTTTTGTTATTATTTTAAAAAAACCTCTTTAAATGTCTACATTTTAAAAGAAAATCCCTCTGCTGTTCATGCATTTTAATGTTCAGAAACCAAGTGGTAATTAAAGACCGTTTGTTGAGATAGGCTGATCGATTTGCTCTCTTCTACGTATGATTTTAAGAATCTTAAATGAACAGTGCATCTTGTGTCTCAGATGAGATTACAGAACACCGCTGCATCCTCTTGCTTTTATTC